CAAGGCTAGCGCTCTACCACTTGAGCCACAGCGCCACTTCCGGCTTTTTTCTTTTTGCTTATGTGGTGCTGAGGAATCGAACCCAGGGCCTCACGCATGCAAGGCAAGCACTCTACCACTGAGCCACCTTCCCAGCCCTCTTTTAGGTTTTTAAAACATTACTTCTTCCTCTTTCTGATAAACCTATGATTAGATGATAATCTCTTTCACCACTGGATGTCACCTTTGCTCTAAAAGAAGTCAACACATACTAACCTCAAAAATTAGGACCTAACTTCTAAGACATTTAACCCTAAACCTTAAAATCAGCTTTTATACTTCCTTGTGATTTCTGGCTACAATCTGGCTTCAGATGTTTCTTGGCTTCAGTGAAAGGAAGCGTAAGTAGGCCTTCTAGGTCATCACAAGTCACTGAAACATCCAGTGAAATCCCACCAACATTCATATAATTCTCGGTACATATATGGAATGAAAGGAAAACAACAAGTATAAAATACTGGTAATCTTACATAATGTTTTTTTGTTTGTTTTTTGGGTCGGTTGTGGGGCCTGAACTCTGGGCCTGGGCGCTGACCCTGAGCTCTTCAGCTCAAGGCAAGTGCTCTACAACTTGAGCCACAGCACCACTTCCGGTTTTCTGGTGGTTAATTGGAGATAAGAGTCATATGGACCTTCTTGCTGGGGGTGGCTTTGAACCATGATCCTCAGATCTCAGCCTCCTGAGTCGCTAGCATCGTAGGTATGAGCCATCAGTGCCTGGCTTACATAATGTTTTTTTTAAAAAAATTGTGAAAATACCTTACAGATGGCTTACAATTACATGAGCAAGGTAATGAGTACATTTCTTATCAAGCATTGTGGCTTCCTCCTTTGTTTCCCCTTCCCATCCCTTCCCATCCCCCCCCATAATATTTTATAATCCAAATAATTATACTACTTTTAGGATATGAAAAGAGAAAATATTCAGAAGCCAGGAGAGTGGGGAAGTGATGACCTTTATCCAGCTAACATCATTCCAACTAACAGTCATGTCCAGTACTTAAACCCACTAACATAAAATGATGACTAGGACCAGCATCTTTAGCTTCCAAATTTAGGACCTATGAATGATTTGGTTATCTTCTCTTATGCAAATGTAAACAATTTTCCTTTCCAATAAACATATAGATAGTAAGATATTAGCACCTCAACCCAAGAGTATGTTTTTCTCACCTCATATTGCCTCTGCTCTAGTGAGCCAGTTACTGGTGACAATCACTGCCACAGGGAGATACTGTCATAGACGACTCCTACAACATGCCTTAGGTTTGCTGAAGTAGAATAAAAGTTGTACACTACTAACTCAGTAACTGAGTCCCAGGTCCTGCTGCTGGGCCAAAGATATATTTGTCCTATAATTCTGAGTTGAAAACAAAGCCTTTTGATCACAATCTCAGAGATGCTATGAATAGCTGAAAGAGTGCCTAACCACATTAATCAAGCCAGGCCAGGCACCAGGCTAACCTTCTAATCCTTGCTACTCAGGAGGTTGAGATCTGAGGATTGTGGTTTAAAGCCAGCTTGGGCAAGAAAATTTGTGAGACACTTATCTCCAATTAACCACTTAAAAACCAGAAGTGGAGTTGTGACAAGTGGTAGAGTACTTTGAGCAAAAGTGCAAGCCTTGAGTCCAAGGCCCAGGACTGGCAAAAAAAAAAAAAAGAATTAAGCCGGAAGTGCTGATGGCTCATGCCATCAGTACTAGCCTTGAAAAGCTGAGCTTGAACTCATGGTTAGATGCTAGCCTGGGCTATAAAGTTCATGAGACTCCCTTCTCAACCAATAAGTGTCATCCTAGCCATGTGGGTAAAGTGCAAATCAACTTTAAACAAAATCAAGCCCTACCCTTAGTTTAAATGTGCCCTGTTTATCACTACTACTTGCCTTTTTCTGAGCAGTTGCAGCTCGTTGTAGTTTCTCTTTAGCTTGATTATACTTTTCTTCTCTGTCTTTGATACGCTCGTGAAGCTTATGCTTTTCTTCCAACCACTGTATTTGTTTTTCTTCCAATGTTCTGCCAGAAGAATATATGCAAAGTATGGAAGTTAACATAAATTCTTATAATAAGTATCATCCCGAGTATACACAAATTCACTATTGCTGACCAAACACTTTTCCAATTGCAGGTTTGTATGTATATGTGTATAGACACAGATTTACTAATACAACCATTACAGAGAATTTCTTATGAATCAGGCTCTGGATTAGAACAGTGAGTATATTGTTTTCAAAAATGCCCTTCAAGTTAGGTACTTCTGCCAGGTCTTTTATTGTGTGTGGGAGGCCAAGATCAGAAGACTTGTGATTCCAGGCCAGCCTGGGCAGAAAAATCCATGAGACTCAATCTAAATAGAAGGAGCCAGGCTTAGGGGCTGGGAAGTTAGCTCAGTGGTAGAGTGCTTGCCTTGTATGCATGAGGCCCTGGGTTCGATTCCTCAGCAGCACATAAGCAAAAAAAAAAAAAAAAGAAGGAGCCAGGCTTATCATCCCAGCTTCAAAGGGGAGCCTAAGATAGGTGGTTCTCAGTCCAGGTGTGTGCCAAAGGAGGAAGCAAGATGCTATCTAAAAACTAACTAGCATAGTCAGGCATCAGTGGCTCACACATGTAATCCTAGCTATTCTAGAAGCTGTGATTCAGAGGATGGTGGATCAAGACCTGTCCAGACAGAAAAGTCCACTAAACTCAAATCTCAAAAACTAAACCTCAAAAAGAACTAGCTAAAAGCTGGGTTGAAGGTATGTCTAAAGTGGTAGAATGACAGCCTCAAGCCAGAAGAGTAAGCCCAAAACCTTGAGCTCAAGCTCCAGAATTGCCCACCCCCTCCCCCTCAAGAAAAAGCAACAACAACAAAAAACAAAGTACAGTGCAGGCCAAGACTGTGATCCCAGCTGTTTTGGAAGAAGGGGTCAATGATCAGGGGTTCAAAGTTCAAAGCCAACCCAGGCAAAAAGAAGTGATCAAAATGCCAAACAATGGGGCTGGGAAGGTGGCTCAGTGGTAGAGTGCTTGCCTTGCATGCATGAGGCCCTGGATTTGATTCCTCAGTACCACATAAGCCGAAAAAGCCAGAAGTGGTGCTGTGGCTCATGTGGTACAGTGCTATCCTTGAGCTGAAGAGCTGAGGGACAGCGCCCAGGCCCAGAGTTCAGGCTCCATGACCAAAAAAAACAAAAAACCAACTCCAAACAATGGATGGGACTGGTCCACAGGTGGTACACACTTATTATTACAGCTACTAGGGAAGAATAATGGTTGGGGGTAGTGGTGTGCTCTTGTCATCCTCAGCAAGATGGGAAAGCACAAGTAGGAGGACTGCAGCCCAGGCTAGCCTGGGCATAGTAAAAAAGGAACTCAAAAATAAATAAATAAGTAAATAACTCAAATAATAAATAAGTAATAAATAAGTAACTCAAAATTAAGTAATAGAAGAAAAGGTTGGGACATACATCAAATGGTAGAACAACTAACTGTTTAACAAGCCCAAGGCCTTGAATTCAATTCCTAAGACCACTAAAAAGAAAAGAGAAACAAAGAAACAAACAAAAACAACTACAACAACAGAGATGGAAGCATAGCTTAGTAGAATGTTTGTCTAGCAAGAACAAGGCTGGGTGTTCTAGTGCATACCTGTCATCACAGCTACAACAGAAAGTGTAGCTAAAAGGATCACAGAGAAAGTATAAGATCAAAATACAGGCCAGCTTGTGAGAAAGGCAAGACCTTATCTCAAAATAATAAGAGCAAAAATGTCCTGGAAGCATGCATTTAAATCCCAGTAAAGGGGGGGAGGATGATAAAAGAAAATCAAGCTGGGTATCAAGTCAATGAAGTATGTTTTCTGATTAGAGTAAAATTCATATAAATGATATTTTAAGATAACATCACAATTTAACTTTAAAGATAGTATGCTCATTTTATATCACTTTTAAATGTCCTTACTGTGGCCATTACAAATGAGAACAAACAATAAGAATTACCACCCTGGGGCTGGGAAGGTGGCTCAGTGGTAGAGTGCTTGCCTTGCATGCATGAGACCCTGGGTTCGATTCCTCAGCACCACATAAGCAAAAAAAAAAACAAAAACAAAAACAAACAAACAAAAAAAAGAATTACCACCCTAAGGTGATACAGAATTTAAGTAGGTTAACTTAAACTAAAATTATATTTTAGTTTGTATTAGTATATATTGTTTTCTTCTATACAATCCTATAAATAACATTCTAAACTAAGAACTACTTAAACTTGCTAGCTATATTATCATTTCAAATACTTTGATTTATAAAATATTAATTTCTATTCCTGAGGTTTAAAAAATATCTTTTGCTTATAAAAAACAAAAAGTAGCTGGGCGCCAGTGGCTCATGTCTATAATCCTAGCTACTCAGGAGGCTGAGATCGGAGGATCACAGGTCAAAGCCAGCCTGGACAGGCAAGTCCAATAAACCACTAGAAAACTGGAAGTGGTGGTGTGGCTCAAGCAGTAGAGTACTCACCTTGAGCTGAAGAGCTGAGGAAAAGCCCCAGGTCCAGAGTTCAAGCTCCATGACCACCACCAACACAACAACAAAAAGTAAACTCCCTGGAATGACATCTTTCTTACCTCCTTTTCCTGAAATTCAACTTTACATATAAACCTATGGACAAGTCTTAAAATATGAAATAACAGGAAAAAAGTGGGGAAAAAATTTATGATTGAAGAACAAATTTGAGAAGACAGTATTTTACAGATAGAAATAAAAAAATGTAGCAACATTTTATAAACAAAAAAAAACACAAAATAATTCATCTATGTATTTCTCTATCCTTATGATGCTGGGATTGAATGCAGGGCTTTATGCATGTGAGCAGACACAACCATTGAGCTGCATCCCTATCCCCTCTGCCACATCTAAATAAAATGTCCAGAGAATATAAGACTATGAAAATAACCAAAGTAATTTTTCTGCCAGGAGTCAGTGGTTAATGCCTATAATCCTAGCAACTCAGAAGATAAAGACCTGACAACAGAAGTTTGAAGTCAGCCAGGAAAGTCCATGAAACTCTTATCCAATTAAGCACACACACAAAAAATAAATATAAAATAAAAATGCTAAGCTGGAGCCCAAGTGCTAGCGCACTATAGCCTTGAGCAAAAAAGCTCAGGACAATGCCCAGGCTCAAGACCCAGGACCAGCAAAATAAATGAATAAATCTTTTCCTACTAGTTTATTCTGTTGTCTTTTACTAACAAAATGCAAGGCCCAAATTATCTTTTCAAAAGGAAAATCCAAAGGTCTGGTAGTAATTCCAAAAAGGAAGTTTTTATGTGCACAAGAATAAACATGTGCATGCACACACGCACACAAACACCTACACACAACTATAATCACATCACTCTGTTCTCTGGTATTCTGAAGGAATGTTTAAGTTTGCTAATTGAATAGTTTTTCTTTGAAAAGTTTGCAAAATACTGTGCTGAGGCGGAATTTTAAAAGGCTATTTGCCTTCTTAATTTTTTAAAAATCAACTGAGGCTATCCCGAAAGTTTATTTTTATAGAAATATTACATAATGCATACTATCCAAGGGTATTTGTAACTAAACATAAACATATCAGTAAAATACATGTTATGCAGCAAAAAGAGAAAACAGCTTACATTAACAAAAAAAGGAACAACCTACTTTTCAGCCTCTAGTTGCGCTTTTTCAGCTTGGCTTCTTAAACTTCGGCATTCCTGCTTTAATCTCTCCACTGTTTCCTTGAGCATTTCATTTGAATTCAACAGGTCATTCTCTGACTGTGTCAGTGAGGTCACCTGGATCTGCAAATGACTGACTTGCTTAAAAGAGAAGAAAAAAAAGAAACATAAAACCACTACACACACACAGTAAGGTATGTGAGAAGTAGGGGATACTGACTATCTCCCCTCACAAGTACTGGGGTGCTCTCAAGGATGCCCCAACATTAAGAACTAGCAGCAGCTAGCAACATTTCCTTCTATAACCAGAGACGGTTGATAACTAAATGTTCCTTGGTCTGATTCCCTTCTTTTCTTCCCCAAATACACATGGTACAAGAAGTATTGGGAGTGGGAGAAAGGCTATGAGGAGTTCAGCATAGACAAACTAGGCTGAGAATGTAAGTCAGATGGGGAAACAACTTAAGAAACCTGCCACATACCTGACAATCAGCCTCCCTTCTGCGTAGTTTGCTGTCAGCACAGTCAGAATAGTTGGGGATAATAAAAGCAGGCCACTCTTGCCTTGTTTTTCTTAACTTCTAAGCATCTTGCATGTCCAGTGTTTGTCAGAAAGTATTCTGAGAAATCTAAGGAAACCTAGGGATTCCTTGGCCTTTAGAGGCATTTATCAAGCTGCATGACACTTGGGGCTTGTACTCCATCCTAATTTACCTTCATCTGGGAGTACTTTTTCCTCATGAAAAGTAATTATGTCATTATAGACGGACAATCTAGAAAGAGTCACACTGCCTCTAAGTTATATCTAAATATTATACGCTATGCTCAGTTTTATCTACATCTCCCACAAGCTATTTTATCAACTAAAAAACAATAAAAGCCTTCATTTTCCTTTCATGTCCTTTTACCTTTTTAGCTATTCGCTGAGACAGTTAGGAGCAAACAGAATCAAGAAAGAGAGGGACCTAAAGAAGGACATTCAAGGGCCAAAAGAAAAATTTTGTTTTTGGAGACAGGAGCTCATGATGTAGCCCAGACTGCCCTCAAACTCACAATCCTTTGCCTCAGCTTTTGTGTTAGAAATATAGGTATAGGGGCTGGGAAGGTGGCTCAGTGGTAGAGCGCTTGCCTTGCATGCATGAGGCCCCGGGTTCAATTCCTCAGCACCACATAAGCAAAAAGAAAAATGCCGGAAAGTGGTGCTGTGGCTCAAGTGGTAGAGAGCTAGCCTTGAGCTGAAGAGCTGAGGGACAGCGCCCAGGCCCAGAGTTCAGGCCCCACTACCGGACCCAAAAAATAAAAAAAAAAAAAAGAAGAAGAAATATAGGTATATGCCACTACACCCAACAAGAACCAAGATTCTTGGTGTAATATATTAAATGTAAGGAAATGCCCACCTTGCAGATCTAATCTCCTCCTTCGAGGGCAGTGCCTACGCAGTGAGGCACCTCCCACTTCCAGCCGCCGACATATAAAAAGGGGCCTCCAAGGAGCCAGATGGCGCCATTTTCTCCCTTTTCTCATGAGAACTTGGTCTTGTCAGCTCTGCTGGCAATAAATCTTTTCCTCTACTTGACTTCTGTCCCCGTGGTCTTTTGGGTTACTTTCTGCCTGAGTTACATTTTCCTTTCATTTTGGTGGCCTGTACAGGGCTCCCCAGTGGATTTGCTCCCCAACCCCTGGTGACTGGGAGGGCCCTGACAGCGATCCCCAGAACTAACCCACAGTCCTAGGCAGGCCTCCAAAGACCTCCGAGCTGGTTTCCTGCTGATCAAATGCCTCCTACACGTCTGCCAGCAGATGATCAAGTCCTACCCCCAGGTAAGTGAAGAGAGGCTCAGATTTCATAGTACAGGCTCCATACCTCTGGCAGGGGTCTTCAGCACCGCCCCCCCCAAAAAAAACTTGGCCAAGTATCTAAGCCACATTTCCAAGGCCTCGGTGGCCCAGGGACGCTGTGGAGAAACGTGAGGACCTCTTTTTTGAGCCAAATTGCACTGCCAAGGACGCTCTGCAGGAAGCTTTTGGTTCCAGACTACTTACCTTGGGAGGAACACAATCTCTAATATTCCTAACATTCCTCAGGACTTCCCCTTGGGTTATCTCTTAAAATAATCTAAAAGTGCTCCAACTTGAATCTGACATTGATTCACAGGAGCTCAGATACTTCTGTACTGAGATCTGAATATTCACTGGACAATAAGTCCACATGGCCCATTCATGGGATCCCAATTATTATATGGGATCTATCCAATTTCTGCAGGCAGTCAGGCAGGTTAAAGGAGGCCAGCTACATAGATGCTTTCTTTCTTTCTCTCCTTCCTCCAAACTAAACTTCTTCCTGAGTCCTTATGTTCTCCTTCTCAACTACTCTTGGCCACAAGGCCTCCAGCTCATAACCCAGACTCTATTCCAGATGAGTTGCCATTTCAAACAGGTGGGGCAACAGACCCTTAGGCTGCACCGGAGGAGACTGGACTTCCACTGAAGGAGGTGGGACTTCCACTGAAGGGGATGGGACTTCCATCAGAGGTGGCAGCCCCTCCCCCCCCCAATTGATCCCACAGCCCTCAATCCACTGGTCACCCATTCCCACACCCTCTGCTCCCGCACCATCCAAGGCCAAGGCCCCCTTCTCTCGGTAACACCCCCCCCCACCTCCCTCACAGGACAAAAGCACACCTGGCTTGGCCACTGCAAACCAGCTGTCTCAGCTGAAAGATGTCCTGGAAGTTGTTACATGCCTTACAGAAACATTGAGCACCATCCTTACCCAGGGCCTGCTACAGATCAGAATTCTACTTTAGCCCTAATTCTCCCATTACGCGAGGTGGCAGGGGCCAATGGCATAGTTACAGTGCATATGCTGTTCTCATTAAATGACCTAGCACAATGCCAATCCTACTGCCTACATCAAGGAGCTTCAGCATGTATTTCTATCCTATGAGGTAACCTGGCATGATGTGTATTCAAGATATAACCTTGAATAGTACCCTTCTACCAGGGCAACAGCAGGATGTTTGGGAAAAGGCCCATGCAGATGAGAACCACCAGACCACCCCCTATCACCCAATTGGGACTGAGGCAGTGCCTGACCAGGAGCCTCACTGGGATTACAATTCCCAAGGTGGTCGCCAAAGGTGAAACTAATTTATTGACTGTAAAATGGAGGGTCTCAACCAGGCGGGCTACAAAGCCCTCAACTATGATACAATGGCCACGGTCATACAAGACAAAAATGAAAACCCATCTGCCTTTTGGGCCAGACTGAGTCAGACCCTCCTTCAATACACTAACCTAGACCCTGAGTCTGTGGACAGACAACTCTGTTTAATGACTCATTTTATATTTTATCAGTCTGCTCCAGACATCTAGGATAAATTTAAAAAACTAGACAGGGGGCCCCTAATCCCCACTGGTAAGGCTATGTAGGCAGCCTTTAAGGTGTATCACAGCAGGGAGGAAAAGGCCAAACAGCTCGAATACCAAATGCTAGCCAAAAATCTACCAGCCTCCGGCCTTGCAACCCTTTTCTGAGGGGGTCCACCTGAGCCCTGCTATGTCTGTGGTTGAAAGGGGCACTGGAGGGAAACCTGCATCCTGAAGAAGCCGTGCTACCAATGTGGGACCCAGCCTGCCCACAGCCATGTGAGCCAACCCAACCATGCCCCAAGTGTAAGGTTTCAGGGCATTGGACCATGGACTATCCATCATCTTCTCAGAGGCTGTGGCATCATCCCCTCCTGGCACTCTGGGACTGGCAGCCAAAGAAGACTGAGGAGGTCTTGGACTCCTGGCCCCGACCACTCCTATCACCATGCAGGAGCCCAGGGTGACAATCATGGTTGCAAGTAGGATGACCTAGCTTTTGGTGGACACAGGTGCTATGCATTCAGTGTACACTGAGTTCCATGGCCAGACCTACCTAGCCGATACCTCCATAGTCGGGGTGGAGGGAAAACCTTACAAACCCCAACCGCCTCTCCCCCCATCATTTGTCTTTTTTCAGGAGTGGCCTTCTGTCACTCCTTTCTTGTTATCCTCCACTGTCCAGTTCCACTGCTGGGTAGAGATCTCTTGGCCAGATTTGGAGCCTCCATTACCTTACGCCCTTCCCCTGCGATCTCATTGTTGATGGCTTTAGTAGGCTCTCCTAGCGACCCCTCAGATTCCCCTTACCCATCCTCTGAGGTGGACCCCACCTGGCTCCACCAAGCTCTCAGCTAAGTGGGAGGGATCCTACTCAGTAACTCTACTCCCACAGCCATACAGATTCAGGGATGTCCACACTGGATTCCCATCTGCCTCTGAGCCAACTGGACCCCTATCTCTACGGATAAAAAAGATCGGACCCAGTCTTCCTTCAGTCATTGAGGAACCAGAGGACCCTGCTCTGGACAAGTAAAATCTTCATAACCACCACGACCTTGGGTCAACTTTGTGTATAGTACCTCCCCCTCATTGACTACAGTGCCCCCTTCTCAGCAGGAAGGAGCTCCAGAAGACAAGACCTTCGCCCATATTCCCTGCCCAGTAATGCACATATTAAAGCAAAAAGGGGGAAAATGTGAGGAAATGCCCACCTCACAGACCTAGTCTCTGCCTTTGATGGCAGCACTTGCGCAGGAGGTAAGGCACCTCCCACTTCTGGCCCCCCATGATATAAGGGGCCTCCCAAGGAGCCATGGTGCCATTTTCTCCCTTTCCTCATGAGAACTTGGCCTTGTCAGCTCTGCTGGCAATAAATCTTTTCCTCCACTTGACTTCTGTCCACGTGGTCTTTTGGGTTACTTTCTGCCTGGGTTACATTTTCCTTTTATTAAATAAATGGGAAATAATGTCATTACTTCCTGAAGGTATTAAAGCCAAATAAAATAGGACTATGTATCCACAGAACAAAGTAAAATGGGGATCTTCAGGATTCTGAGAATGAATGTCTTTGTGTAGACTAATAGTAGAATGGCAAACTTTAAATGTACATTATAGTTTCCAAATAAGCAGCCTTCAATGAGATTAACGCTTCTACATTCATGGGATGACAGAAATCACAATGCCAACGACACCAGGTAATTGCTCCCAGAGACTCAAATGTTATGTCCTCCTAGTTGATATTTAAGAACCAGGTCTGCACATGTAAAGCAATCTCAGGTAACATAAAAGCATAAATCCTAAAAATGGAATTTTCACTACTTCATAGTATATAGACAAAAACCTCATTTTAAATAATAAGTAAAAGAGAATTCAGAAAGAATACTCTTCTGTATTTTGGCCTAACATTATATAAATTTTTCTTTTACTTTTTTCCATAAATATAATTCTTAGATTTCACAGAGATATGGCCAATAATAGATAAAGGTTACAAGCCAATTAATTGACTTAAAATATAGGCAATATTTCTAACCAACTCTTAAGCTAATTAAAATTAAAATTTTATACAATGCCAGTGGCTGACACGTATAATCCTAGCTACTCACAAGACTGAGACCTGAGGATTGCGGCTCAAGGCCAGATCAGGCAGGAATGTTCTTGAGACTCTTATCTTCAATTAACCACCAAAATAATAATAATAATCATGCCAATAATAATAAATTTAAAGTTCTGATTATTAAAATACTGCCCTTTATATACATTTCTTAAATTTGTCATGGGCCACAGCATATAAATACATTAATACAAATGTCAGCAAAACTAGTTTACTAAATTAAAACAGAAGTTGAAGTATTTTCTTTTACATATCACTCATCAACTTATCAGTTGTTGTGATCAGATCATTAGAGTTATATAAGACATTCCAGTAACTACAAAATATCATTTTTTTGTGTGTATGTGTCAGTACCAGGGCCTTGAGCTCATCTTTTCTGCTCATGGCTGCCACTCTACCACTTGAGCTACCTCCCTAGCCCAGCTGGAGAGTCTCTTGAATTATTCTGCCTTTGAACTCTGATCCTCAGATCTTGGGTCTTTTGAGAGCTGGAATTACAGGTATGAGCCACCAGTGCCTGGCACAAAACACAATTTTAAAGTGCTTTAAAAATAAAAGCATCATACCTGCTTCAGATCAGAATTCTCATTCTTTTGTTTCTCTGCATTTTCAACATTCACAATTTGTTGTTGAAGTTTTAACCTAAAAACCACAAGTCAACAGAAGACACAACAAATCCATAATTCATTTTACCAAATAAGATAACCATTTCATTGAATATCTATTGTCTACCAAGCACTGTACTAGGCAAAGTGGTTGGTGCTATCACAAAGGTGTAGACTTCTAGAAGCTAATCCATCTTCATATGTAACTAAAACAACACACTTTGCTGAAAAAGTACTGTGCTAGAATCTAAAACTAATGTTAAGATATTCTTAGGATGGACTGGGAAGGTGGCTCAGTGGTAGAGCGCTTGCCTTGCATGCATGAGGCCCTAGGTTCAATTCTTCAGCACCACATAAGCAAAAAGAAAAAAGTCAGAAGTGGTGCTGTGGCTCATGTGGTAGAGAGCTAGCCTTGAGCTGAAGAGCTGAGGGACAGCGCCCAGGCCCAGAGTTCAGGCCCCACGACCAGACCCAAAAAAAAAAATATATATATATATATATATATATATATATATTCTTAGGAAAAAATTCATGATTTAAGATCGTTACATTTAATATTTTAAGGAATAATGAATCCTAAACAAAATGAACCTTAATAAGCATCTAATGGTTTAGATATATTAACAGTTTCAAATCTCCATATACAATAGTTAAAAAGATTTTTTCCAAACACAATGTAGTGGATTTAGGAATAAACTGTAGTTTCTCTTATGCTTAGGCTTTGAATATTTAAGTTGTCTCATATTTCAAAAGATAGTAAGTCATATTGGAAGACTAATGTATGGGAAAGTACAATAAAGTTCAGTAGGGGATCAGTAAAAACTATGGAAAAGACATGAAATCTGAACTAGACCTTGAAGGCAAAACAAGGGTCTGACACAGAAAAGCAAAGATTTTATATAATATACATGGAAAAAAGTGTGAAAGATGAAGCAAGATGTTACAGTATTAATAAAATTACTATTTGTTTTAGGAGTAAAGAAAAAATATTTTCACTATCATAGAAAGGAAGGTAAGAATAAAACCAGATGGGAGATAATAAATTTTAAGATATCAAGAAAGTGAAAGAATTCATTTCCCAGTCTATGCTTATTACTAGTAAGCTAAGCTGAAAAGGTAGCAAAGTCAGGTTAACAGACTTAATTAAAGAAAAAAGAAACAAAGAACTACCAGTTTCAATGGAGTAGCTAAAGAGAAAGAAAAGGCACTTATGTCTTTGAAGGGAGTTACTTAGAAGATGACAAGGCCAGGATGCAGCTATGTGTATGGAAAGTGGAAGCAGAATGCAGATAAGAATGCCATAGTGAAGACACAAGTATTATAAGGTTAAAGGTATAGTTCAAGCATATGGATAGGCAGTTTCTAAGAATGGTGGCATGGGATTAAGAAACAGAGAAATGGTTGAGACAGACATCAAAGACTTCAATAAATGCTAAGGAATAACTTGTAAATCAGTAACTGAAAAAGAAAACAGATAAACTGAATGCAAAAATACCGAAGGAAAAATCACTTTTAATGAAAGTTAGTCAAACAATATGGTCTGAGTTTACAAATGTTCATTTCCCTTGTTGATCTTTTCTTGCAGGGCAAGGGTATAATAATTTTCACTTAAAAGAGTTTCCAGATTATATATGTCATTAGTAGAAAGTCAAGTTTTACTGAAGATTTTTATTTTTTACTTGGTATGGAAGTGCAAAACATTGATTGATAATAAACAGGGATTTGAAGGCTACAGTAGAGAAAGTTGGTGAAGGACAGATGGAGGGTATAAAGTACTAACCTAGTATGTGTAAGGCCTTGGATCTCACACACACACACACACACACACACACACACACGCACGCATTTTAATGAATAGTTGGCTAAGTAGAAATCAAAATGAAGGATAAATAAGTTAGGTAATAATAGACTATAATTACTTTAGACTTTAGAAGTAATTATGGAAGTAGAAATAGGAGACAGAATAGAGGACCAAGTTACAATGGAGAATTCAGCTGTGGGAACATTTAAATAGAAATTTTAAAATAATATTAAGGTGAAGTTCCAAGTTCCTTTCAAAGTACAAGGTAGCCAGCCAACAGTTGCTTGTGGTATAGATTTTCTATGGCACACAGCTCATACGTGCTATTTCAACTTTGAATGAATATTTATAGAGTGCCTATGCATGCTGAATGTAGTTCCGTAGGTTCTGAATATCCTGGAAAATACCAAAGTCAGAATCTTGGCCCTTAACAGACCAATAGTGCTATCTGGCAAAGTACTTTGATGATGAAATTACCTACAATCCCTATCTATCTTCAAGTTGCTATAGAGCATCAGACATGTGGCTGGGCTGGTATGATTAATTTAATTTCTTAGAATTGTAATTAATCTAACTTTAGGTATTAATAGTTAAACATCACTAGTCATACCATAATGGATGGTAAAGGTTCTACTGTAACTCCTTGCCTTTATTTTCTGTTAGTCTCAAAATAATATGACAAGAAAGGTTGTACATGTGATTTCTCTATTGTCAAAAGTCAATACCCAGATGCCCCTCAGTAGATGAATGGATCAAGAAAATGTGGTATATATACACAATGGAATTCTATGCCTCCATCAGAAAGAATGACATTGCC